CCCCCGCCCCAGCCGCCGCGCCCGCGCCCGCCGCCGCCGGGCTGCCCCGCTGCGCACGCCAAATCGAACACAGGAAGCCGGGCGCGTCAGGACGCCGCCCAATCCACGCGTCACGTGGCAGCCCAGGCACCACCCCCCCCGACTCGCAGCCACGAGGGCATGGACATGCGGCAGGCACAGCGGCCGCATAGCGCGGTGCACCGTGCTGCACACGCCTGGCACGCTGACCCTGCCCAGCCCCCAGCCTGCTCACCTTTCCGGCTGACCTGCTCCTCCTTCACCTTGTCCACCACCTATCACAGAACAGTGCAGGAATGCAGAGAGCAGGGCGGCTTCAATGTTTGTCACTGGCACTTTGATCACTGGTAAGATTTTGAACGCGTGACACTGCCCAGGCGCGACGTGGCTGATTCTCTGCAGGCAGCCTGCGACTCCTGCTGGCGGTCGCGCGGCGACCATCGCACTGCGCGCCTCACGGGCGCAGTGCAGGTGCATTGTCGGGACGGGTCCGCGAGGCCCGCACGCTCGTGTGCGTGCTGCGCCGCGGCGTGTGACGCGGGTGCGCTGCGACTGATGTGGCGCACCTCATCTGGCACTCGCACGTACTTGATTGTGTTGCCGCGGATGTACACCTCCGGCATCCGAAAGAAACGGTCACCATCCTGAGGGCGCGGGGTAAGGCCAGGGTGGACTTGCGGCGTGTGTGGCGGGTGCATCCTGGCAACGGTCCGTGAGCATCTGCAAATCGGCGTGCGTAATCAGCTCCAACTGCTGTCGCCAACCCGGACGGCACACCAGGTGTGCAGTGAGCTGACGCCAGCGCAAAGGCAGGGGCCGCAGGGCGTGCATGCTACAGTTGCAACGCTGTCTGGCACCTTTGAAGTGCAGATAACTTCCCGCAGGTGGATGTTCATCCACGAGTCGCAGTTGACGACATGCCCATTGTATGTCTCCCCATTCTTGAGCTCCACCAACTGCAGTGGGTTGGGTGCATGCAAAATCGTTCGGCAGGCAGGTGGTGGCAGCGGCACAGCGCATCGGGTCGGGATGCATCAACAGCAGCGACAAAGACGTGCACATGCTGCTGGTCCATAAACTTACCACAGGGTGCGCTTGTGCTGTTTTGAGCAGCGACAAAGGCAGCATACTAGGCGCCCGCTGCTGCTCGTCAGCTGAAATAGACTGGCCTAGCGCCCGTCGTCCTGTAATCTAGCTGAGAAACTTACCGATGTGAGAACGATGCTGCTGAAGTGAGCACAAGACTAAAACAGGCGCAGTGTGGCGATCTGAGATCAAGCAAGAGTTTGAGCTTGTTCTGTTCTGATGAATGTTTATGTGTGAGTTGACTATGCAGAATAATGTGGTCAGATGGCATACCGTACTTGGCTGACACAGTGGGGGAGACGTGTAGACGCGGGCAGGGACATGGCCAGGGGTGGACACACGGCATAGCACAGAAGTTTTCTCGGCACCCCTCGTCAATCGCTGGCGTCTGCTGGCTCTAAGCATAGGTTTGCCAGCCACAGCGCACTGATGGCTGTGTCACATACGCCTGATTATCTTGTGCGTTTTTATCTGAGCAAGAGCTTTGTACGTACACCCCTGAGACCGATTGGGAGGGATTTGGAATTGTTCATGCAAGGATCAGCTGTACTCCAGGTACTTGCCTTGCCGGCCATGATGGTGATGACAAGTCCCAGCTCTGTGATTTATCAGAGCCACCAAGACCGCACACTGCCGTAACATGCATCACCGCAAGCTGTGAGCACAGGGCCCCCAACGTGGTGCGGACGTAGCGCCTGGGCACAGCGGCTGCTGGCTCAACTGGACGACTGGCATTTGCTGTCTTATGGTGCAACCCATCTACTGTGACACACGTTTAGCAGGTCTCAGGAACATTGCAGGCTCCTGTTAGTGATGACAGGGGTGGTAGCGAACGATCGGCCCTCTGGATGCCGATGCTCTTTCCTCGTACCCGACATCAAATGCTGAGGGACGCAAAGCGGCCAACAACTGCCGTTTCTTAAAACATGAGTGCATCAACGCGTCTGGCTCAACCTGGTGGAGCTACTGGCTTGGCGCCAGCGGTCAGGAGGGTGCAGGGTGGGCGCTTTGATCAAGTCGTGAGCAAGGCTCGCTCTGAGCAACAAGGTGTTATATATATGCTTACAATTGGTCGAAACAACAATACAATCGCACATAAGGCTTTTATGCTGCATGCTTTACGCGCTTAGGACGCTGAGATCACGGGCCTCCCGATTCCTCGTCTACAATTCTGCGTACATGGCTGCTTGCACTGCCGAGCCCAAGCCACATGCGGGAGACGTCACGAATGACGCCCTGGAACGCTGCCATGCAATGGCGGTCGAGAGCTTCAGGGTGGTGCGCATGCTGCTGTGCGTCGTAGCTGCTGTCTCGTGGCTGCACGCCTGTGATGCAGTCTTGTTCAGCACCCACAGCACATTGTCATGGGTGCTTCAGATTTTCTGTCGCGTGTGCATCAGTTCCACACTGATTCATGGCCAGCACGCTGCCCTGCTGCCAGGTGTTTGAGGCCGCTGCGCAAAGTGATCAAAACGTAGTGCTGCAACTACGTTGCCATCGCAGGACCTCAGCGGTGGGGGCAACCATAAACTGTTTTGGGGCATCGCTTCCACGCAGGGCCGCCGGGCTGGTATGGTGAGTCTGCGTCCTGCCGCAATTGCGCCCGCCCTGCTGTGTGTGCTGCCAGTCCCCTTCATCATGACGCTGCTGATTAGCGTGGATTGCGGAAGCGACCACAAGAGCTGTCCCCATCCCCGTGAAATACCTGCCGTCGCTCAACATACCATCATAGCCACACACACACACACACACACACACACACACACACACACACACTTACAAGCACAAGGACAAGCACGTACGATTGCTTGCTTGGTTGCATGATCCTGCCTAATGACCTTCTTATAAATCAAAAACTGCCACAATATCAGGAAGACGCCCATGTCGTCGACTTGGACGTGGATGGCACTGGCTCCACCGCCCTCTTCGGCGTTTTCGACGGCCACGCCGGTGCCGAGGTCGCGGCCTTCTGCGCACGCCACATCGTATGTCGCCCGCAAGCCCACACCATTTGGGATTTGCTGGGCGAGGCTTCTGTATATTGACCCGCAGCGCGCGCCAACGCAGTGATAATCAACTGCTGGTCCTTTGCTGCAGCTTACTTGCAGGCCATACCCACCCACCAGCGGGTTCACAACGGGATTTGACCCCGAATGGCGCCCCTCGTGTGCACCGCAGGGCGGTGTGCTGCCATCCACTGAGGCCTACAAGGCTGGGGACCTGGAGGCCGCCCTGTCAGAGGTGGGGCAGCCAAGCCCCTCCCCCGTAGACAATGTGACCAGCCTGGCTCGCGGCGGGCCCAGCGGCCTGTCAACCCCCAGGTGTCTTTCAGCTGAGGCAGTATTCATGCACCTCAGAATACATTCAGGTGGTAGGTCATCTTGGCAGCTGACCAAATGAAGGAGGGCTTCTCAGTATTGGTTGGTCACACAGGTCACACAAAACAATTGAAACCCTCCCTCGAGCTGTTGTAGCGGTGCCCACACACATAGACCCTCATCTGGCCCCCACTCACTCAGCCCCCACCTCTCCCCCACCAGGCCTACCTGCAGCTGGAGCTGATGATGAAGGACCCGACGCACCGCCAGGAGCTGGCACTGCTCAGCGCAGGTTGCCGCATGCGCCCGTACGCGTCCGCAATTACTCGCACCTGCCCGCTCTCGCGACTGAAACAGGGGTGGAGCATGCGCCTGCTGCATGCCTCTTTCAAGCGCGGTGCTTCTCAGAGACAGTTCCGCACCGATGAGCGCCTTCGTGATGGATGCTGCGGTCGCTGTTTGTGCGTGTTGCACGCAAGCAGGGCTGAAGCCGGGGCGCAAGCGGCTGGCCAACGAGGCCCTGGCAGACAGCTACGGCACCCTGGACGAGGACGGGTGCTACCTGGGGCCAAAGGTGCGTCTGTTGGACCCAGTGCTTTCTCCAAGTACGTAGTTTGCCACATGGTGCGGTGCCAACAGCTGGACAGCAGTTGTTGAATGCCTCCTCCTGTTGTTGGGTGGAAGTATGATTGAGAAGCGGCGGCCAACCGGACCTGCTGCTGCTCATGGCACGCCACTTGCAGGCGGGCTGCACTGCATGCGTCGCGGCGGTGCGGGGCGAAGAGATGTATGTCGCAAACGGTGGGAGCGGCGTGGGAGCGGCTACTTGGTCATGCGTCTGCCTTGCAGCAAGCTCGCCGTCGGGTGCACGCTCGTGTCTCAGCCGCGGGCAAGCACAGATTCTCGCCACACGCCGTATGCGATTGGGCACCCACACCCCAACCACCTGTCACTGCCTTCGCGCCTCGGTTGCATCCTTGCTCGTCCGACGCGGCCATCACCACTCAGTGGGCGACTCGAGGTGCGCCGCAGTGTGCGAGCGCGCACTGTGCTCGCACCTGCAGCCGCACCCGTGCGACCAGCGGCTGCAACTGTGGCGCCTCATGGGAATGTGTGTTCTGCGGGCGTCCCCACTTGCCGACGTGCCGCCATCGCGCGTGCTGCATGCGTGACAGGTGCGTGCTGTGCGAGTCTGGTGGGACGGCCGTGAGCCTGACGCGGGACCACAAACCAGAGCTCAGCGGCGAGGAGGAGCGAATTACAAAGGTGTGTGAGTGTTCATGCGTGGCTGCTGATACGTAATCGTGCGTATACCTGAGCACGTGTGTGTGTGTGTGTGTGTGTGTGTGTGTGTGTGTGTGTGTGCGCGCGCGCGCACGCGCACGCGTGCGTGTACATGTGCACGTGCATGTGTGCGCGCATCTTCAAGCGCGTGGCGCTTGCATGTACATGTGATCCGGAATAGTGGCACCAGGATCGGCCCAAAGACCACTCTCAGAGCTACCAATGAAGGCGTGATGGCTGCTCCTTGCTGCGATGGTCTTGCCCCAAGCGTTTGAGGCCGATGGTTGCCTGCTTCCTGCAGGCGGGCCTGAGTGTAGTGCGCAACAGGGTATATGGTGACAAGTCCAGTCTGGCCATGACTCGCGCCTTGGGAGACACCAAGTGGGTAGCCTGGCTGCTGGGGTTTGCTGACTGGGTCTGGCTGTGGTGCGTGGGTTTGGTCGATTCTCTGCCCAGGATTGGCCATGTTGCCTGAGTGTGGCCTTTTGTTAGTGTCTGGTGTGAGCTGTCCTGCCTGGGTTGCGTGGTAACTCAACCAGAGAGGGGGTGGCGCGGGCCCCGCGCAGCTGCTCAGAGGCTCGTCCCTCCGCCTCCCGGGCATGCCAGTGCGCGTTCAAACATGCCGCGGGGGGTGGCGCAATTGGCCCCGGTGGACGCTCTGTATGAAGCAGTAGTCGTCGTCATGCGCAGGCGACTGCTGCACGTCACCCACTAGTGGCTTTGCGCGTCAGGCTGCCAATTTCAGTGCCTTGTTCATATTCCTGTTCCTGTCAAACTCATGTGCATCCGCCAGGTACAAGGACCCCAATTTGCCGCCAGAGCACCAGGCAATATCGCCCGTGCCCGACACCACGCAGTGAGTGCAGCCGCCCGGCTGCACTGCAAGACGCTCGCCTCCCCCCAGCCTCAGAACCCTCCTGCCTTGCTCTGCTTTGAGATTCACAGCTGCAAAGGAGGACTGGCCGTTGCGGCGGCACAAATGCTCATGCATCCTGTTGGCGCTCTGATGCGTGCCCGATGCCTTCGCCCCACGCCGTGCCAGGTACATTGTCGGCAGCGCCGCCGGCGGCTGCGAAGCTGCATGTCCGGCCAGAACGTCGCCGCCAATTCCAGGCGACAGCGACCCCGGGGCGGCGGACGCGGCGGAGTTCATGGTGCGTGGCCGGGCACAATCTCGGGCCTGTATGCAGTCCCAGGCGCTTTGTCAGGATCATTGACGCTCTCGCCGTTGCACAATCAAGCGCTCTGTGCCTGGATTGAAAATACTGTGGTTTGGGAGTTGCTGCTGCTGCTGCTGCTGCTGCTGCCTCCGCCGCCACCGCCACCGCCTGTTGTCCTTGCTTCACTCCCCAAAAGTGGACCAGCGGCACGGTGCTTCATTCCGTGCAACATATTGTCCAGCTGCAAGCGAATCTCCACGACGTTGCATCTGAACACCCACACACCCACCCCACACCCCACCCCACATCCACCCCCACACCCACCCCCACACCCACCACGCCTGGTCGCCCCCCTCACACCCGGCTGCCCAGATCCTGGCGTGCGACGGCCTTTGGGACTCCCTCAGCAATGAGCAGGCGAGCGCAGCAGACGGATGCCGTTCGCCCACTGCCGGCCACCGGCTGCGCGCTGCCAATCCGGCGCTGCATGGTGGTCGCGCCGCCCCTGCCTGGCAGATCCCAGTGGGTGCGCTTGATTGCATCCACCGAGCGGAGGTGGTGCGGCTCTGCCGTGTAGCGGGTGTGACCCTTTGTCCAGCAACCCGCTGCCCTGCGCGGCGCCGCGCGCCCTCGCCAGGCGGTGGAGTTTGTACGGCAGTTCCTGCAGAGCGGCGACACGCCGCAGCAGGCCGCCAGGGCGCTGGTCGAAGAGTGCCTGTCGGACGACGGCGGCACGCCCGTCTCGACAGACAACATAACAGGTGGGCGGGCCGCTGACGGTCAGGAGCGCGGCCCCATGATGATGTCTGGATGCGCTCGTTCAGGGTGTTGGGTTGACCGTCTTGATGCACGGGCCTGAACGGCCGGTGCGTGCGTGGCGAGCAAGCTCTGCCTGCGTGCCTCACAGCGTCGGTCCCTGTGTCGTCATCCACAATGTGCAGCACCCACATGAAACGTTTCTTTACCCACCCCTTCCAAAAACCACTTGTTCAGTGCTGATTGTCAAGTTTGAGCCGCTGCCCGCCGCGGCCGGCAACAGTTGAGGGGTGGCAGGCGGGGACAGCGGCGGGGAGGCGGGGCTTGGTAGGCGCTTGCTCCAAGTTGAACGGCCGGTCATGGAGATGTGTGATGATGATCTGAATTATGGATTGGTGGGCATCGACACACTCATTCCTACATGGCATCCATCACGGCAGCTTCATATTCAAATAAGGCTTTATCTCGCAGGGGTTGTCAATGTGTGCATCTTTTTGCATCAGCAATCAATCCGCAACATCAATGCACCTTGACTTGAATGACAATTGGTATCTTATCTGCTACTTGAACCGTTAGTACGGACAGCCAGCCATTGCTGCCCACTGCGGCAAGACCTGGGCAAGACCAGCCCAGGTCAGCACCTGGTGCAAGTGATGCGGCCACATCTACTAAAAAGTGTTGTGAAGGCTGTCAGGCCCTGCAAGCGCCACCTCTCTGTTGTCTTTGTATACCAATTTTTAGAGTATCGCAGTAGAAGCGCATTCCTCGACAAGATCACGCGAACGCCTCTGGATCAACACGCATGCACAACAGCTCGCACCTTCACGGACACGGAGGCACTTGATGCGTCATACCCCAACGAGCAGCACAGCGCCCGTGTATTGAAACCCTAGCACAACCTGCTCACCCGCCACCCAGCAGCAAAGCCAGCAGTGAGGGCGCACGAGCAGCGCGCGCGCCGTTGCGCGGCGCATCCGACCCAGCGCGGCCCCAGCAGCGGCGGCCATGGGCAACAGCAGCAGCAAGCTCGAGAAGGCGCTCGCAGAGTGCCCCGACGACGAGCGCTACTACGGCTTTGAGAACTTTGGCAACACCTGCTATGCCAACTCAGTGCTGCAGGCGCTCTACTTTTGCCGGCCCTTCCGGGAACAGGTGCAGCAGTACTGCGCAGCCCTGCCGCGGGAGCCGGAGGAGAACATGCTCAACTGCCTGGCGGAGCTGTTCCAGCAGGTGGGGGCCTCCCAGCTGGCCAGGCGTGCCGGGGCGAGCGAGCGAGCTCGACGCAGGCAGCTGACAACTGCTGTGGGACCCCGCAGCCGCACGCCGTGACCTGAGGCGGCCGCGCTTGGGCAGCCAGCATCGCTGCAGCCGAGCGACGCTGCTCGCGCAGACACCAGGTTTGGCGGACGCCGCTGTCGCAGAGGCGCGCCTCGCTCCCTGGCGTGCATGTCGCAGAAGGCTTCCCTTCCGTTCGTGCGCCCGTCCGCATTGCTGCTGCCCCCGCAGATCCAGACGTCCAAAAAGAAGACGGGCGTGATAGCGCCGAAGCGGTTCGTGCAGCGGTTGAAGCGGGACAATGAGGCCTTCCGAAGCTACATGCACCAGGTGCGGCGTGGCAGGCGGGCAGGCAGGCAGAGCAGTTGCAGGGCAGGGGGGGGCCGGGGCGGCTGGCGCACAGGCAAGCAGGGCAGGGCAACGCGAGTGCAGCTGCGGCTGTGGCAGCGAGGCGGGTGTGCAGGGGCATGGACTTCGCAGCAGCGGGCGGCCTTGCGGCGGCAGCAGCGTGCGAGGGAAGGGCGGTTAGTGGGAGGCGCCTAGGGCATGCCAAGCAGCAATGCGCAGTCGCAGTGGCAGGCGACCATGCGGCGGTGGGCAGACAAGCAAGCGTGCTGGACGGTCAAGCTGCAGGCACAGTAGGCTGTTCAACAGCAGGCACCGTAGCGGTGGCGGCAGCCCACTGTGGTGCCCTACTGCCCCCTTGTCTCCAGGAGGTCCTGCAGGCCTAGCGGCCCGCTGCTTTGATATTCAACATGTCGCGACGCCGCCCTTACCTTGCAGCGTTGCTGCGGCAAGCCTTTGAGATTCAACCGTCACAATTACACATGTGTGTACATGCACATACCTGTATTCACGCATACACACATGTTCGCACACCCCCCCCAAAGGACGCCCATGAGTTTCTGAACTACCTGCTCAACGTGACCAGCGAGCTGCTGGAGGGGCAGGCCAAGGAGCGGGGGGAGGCGGCGCCAGCCAGCACCTGGGTCACAGACATCTTCCAGGTGGGGGTTAAAACTGACGGGGTGCGCTGTGCTGGGTCAGGGTTTTGTCTGGGGATGCAAATGAGCACGCACGGTCGAGCCGCCCCAGCAGGTGCGTGCCTGCATCGTATTTTGCCGGCGGATATGACTTGTCATACAACCCCTGTTTGCATGCATCCCCTCCCTTCAAACCCCCTGTCCCCCGCCCCGCACACAGGGGCGGCTAGTGAACGAGACGCGCTGCCTGCAGTGTGAGACCGTGACCAGCCGCGAGGAGGTGTTCATGGACCTGGGGCTGGAGATAGAGAACAACACGTCGCTCACGGCCTGCCTGCGCCAGTTCAGGCGCGCCCCGCTCAATGCGGCCTCTCACCCGCCAGCCGGTTGGGCGCCGTGCGGGGGGTCCGGCTGGGCCAGAGGGTCGAGGGGGCGGGGGGTGGAGCAGGGGTTGAGGGAAAGAGCGCGCAAAGCAGGGATAGCTGCGATGCCCTGCGGCCGCCAGGGTGCACGGCGCGCGAGGCCCAGAGCTGACGGTTTGCCTGGCCTCTGCTCAACCCCGGCGCATCGCGCCTGCACGCTCCTCGCACCCGCCGGCCCGCCACTGACACCCCCCGCCACTGTTTATACCCACCCGCCATTCGTGCCCCCGCAGCTCCACGGAGATGCTGTCGTGTGACAACAAGTTTTTCTGCGACGCGTGCGGCTGCCTGCAGGTGGGGGCAGGGGCGGGGGGCTGGCGGCGTCCCTGGCGTAGGTGCCGCGGCCGACGCCGCGGGCCCACGTCGTCTGCGGTCGAAGAGAGCGTGCGTGTTGCACGACACACCAGTGGCGCCTGCCCGGCAAGTGGGCGTTGCCCTTTGCCTGGGCGCCGCTGTGTCACGGCGCGCACATGGAACACTACACTCGATCACCACCTGGTCCACACTCCTGCAACCACCAGACAGACTCCACAAACCTCAACACGCCTTCATCCCCCACTTATCGAACTATGCAGGAGGCCCAGAAGCGGATGAAGCTCAAGCAGCTGCCGCCCTGCCTCATATTCCACCTGAAACGCTTCAAGTACCTCAAACACCTCAACAGGCGCGCCCCCTCCCCCCCCCTTTGCCCCCAGGCGCCCGCATCAGGCACCTGCCCGCACGCGCACGCCCCCGCTCATGACGCCGCGTGCGGGCCGCCCGATGAAACGCTTATTGCAGCCGGTTGTATACGACCCCTGCCAGCCACACTTGAAGGCCTCTTACGCCCATGAACAAGCACTCTATTCCCTACTCGCTGCCTGCCTATCTTCCCCTCGTCTCGCTGTGTCCTTGTCATTGAGCCGACCCCGGACCCTGAATTCACTCCGCAGGGAGCGCAAGCTGCCCTACCGGGTGGTGTTCCCGTTTGAGTTGAAGCTCAGCAATTTGATGGCGGGGGCGGAGGGCGCGGACTCCATGTACAGCCTGTTCGCGGTGGTGGTGCACGTGGGCAGCAACATGCACCACGGTGGGCGCGGGGCGCACACTTTGCATGGGAGCTCGCGCCTGTGTGGTTGTCGTATGCGGAGGGACTTTGTATCGACCCCTCGAGCTTTTACGTGTGTGTGTGTGTGTGTGTGTGTGTGCGCGCGCGCACACACGTGTGCGCGCGTGCATGTGTCAAGCATAAGCAATTGTGGGCGTTGGCAGCAAATTGCACTGGATATCAGGCGTGCCAATGGGGATGCTGCCCAGATTGCCGCCAAGCCTTACCCACCTTTCCCC